CAAGGGGATAGAGCTGGAGGATCCCCGCCCAAACACGACTCAAATCGACCCACAGCTGCAACTTCCATGGTGAGTAGATCCGGGTTAGGGTTTGAGGCGCGAGGGATGAATTGGGGATGCATGCTGCTGTCCATGCCAACACTTGCCGTTTAGCCAGTGACGAAGCATGCGTCCTTTCTCCAGACGAGACGTAGCGACGCCGCCGCTTTTGTTCCTTGTGTGGGACAGCCGGAGGAGGTTGGGAAAATTGCCTCACAATTTTGTTGCTCTCATGGGCATCAAGGGCGTTCCTGCGAAAGACCGGGCGACAGAACGCGAGGACCTCGCTTGAAGAAATCGCGCTGCAATACCAGTTCATGACTTGGATATCGGGGGTTCGAACAGGGCGCTCAAGAACGTCAGCCGAGCAGAACAAAGCGGCAATATGTGCCTAACTCTCAAGTTCCCACGAGCCGATTGCCGCAGAATATGTGGCTTTTTCTTTTGTTTGCTTCGGGGGAGCGGCGTGCTGTACTTGTTTTCTCACTCACGACCAGTTCTTAACGTTCTCATGCTTGTGGAAATTTTGTTTTTCACGAAACAGGCCCTTCTTGCTGCGGCTGAAGGTGAACACTTTTGCCGTACCCTTGGGGCTATCGTCTCAGGTGCGGAATGCTACGGATACAACAAACAAGGAGCACAGCAGTCCCGCTGCGCACCCTCGACAGTAGGTTGATCTGTGATGCTCTCAGGGGTTTAGCTCGTGTTGTTGGCACAACCTAGTGTTAGGTTGCGTGCTACACGTTGGCCGCTGTTGTCTCAGAGGCGACTTCTGAAATATTTGGGCATAAGGACATAACGGTGGATGCAGCAGTACGACAAACCTCACAAGGAAGTGGAGCGTCGCGAGGTGCTCACGGTAGCCCATGGCATGATTCATCTCAGGCTTATCACAAATATGCAGACGGGCTTTGGACACCAAGAAAGCGTTTCGAAAAAAAGGCGTTCCAGCTCTAACGAAGAATGAGGGATTCACACACGTGCAGCTTTTGGGGAAGAAGTAAAATCAACGAGGAAAACTTTGCTCAAGGGTCGTTTCGGACCGCATATCGAAAAATCAAACTGGGCCCGTTCTCAAACCTTCACTGCTTTTTGGCCTAAGAAACACCCGGTAATTCAGCTTGATTCTCATGTAATCCGTTTGTTGACTGAGGATACGCAGATGGAAAACGGCGGAGACGCGTCAACGTTCCCGGAAGATCCGGCAGTTTCCTGCAGGCTTGGCCTGGTGCATGCATCTAGAGTATTTTCTCGTTGCCTGTTGCTGCTTTCAAGCCATGCGACCTCGTTCAAACACCACATATGAGACTTTGGCAGTTCGAGCAGTGCAGTTCTTTGTGGCGTGCTGTAGCTGTCAGCAACCTACGCGTTCGTTTCGACGCTTGCTTACCCAATTCCAAGCGCCTCGATCTTACGCTACAAGACCCACACTGATGAGCGGCACGTGCGTGTTTGAACATAAACTGACTATGGTTGGTACTCGTCATTCTTTTCTTTTGTCAAAATCTTTTTCACTATTGATATGTTCAACCACCGGCCTCCGATCCGTAGGCCCAGCTGTGGGGCTCTCTCTCGCGTTCGTCGCTACTCGAATCGGCGCTAGGACGCGGGATTCCCGATGTGATTCAGCGGATATTCTGGGTGCTGGCGTTATCTCTGTTGGCCGTTATTGCCCTCGGCTACTTCTTGAAGGTGGGCTAACGCATAGCTGATTTCGGGGTGGACGAAACGTGTGCTGGGTTAGGTGCGGGAATGGTGCGCTCGGTGCTGCAAACGAAGAAGGTGATGATACCCCCGGAGGAGGGGAGTGATGGCGGTTTCGAACGGACATGGATGCACCCTCTTTTGAAACCCCCAGATCAATTGTACCGAATGCAAGGGTTCCGGACTTCGGGCACCATACGCGCCCTCGTCCTCATAATTTCGCTGGAAATGTTGGCTCTGAAGTGCATGGTGATATTGACGGAACGTAAGCGTGGTGGGTGTAGGACGTTCTATTCATATATGCATGCGTACCAAGGGCACGAAGTCGGAGGTGATCTTTTGTTATCAGTAAGGCATGATTGTAAGCGGACTTCTCGGCGCTCTGCTGTAACCCGGGGCCCTCTGATGGGAAGATTGGCACGCTGAGGTCGGCCAAGACAGCCGAAGTATTTTTCATACACCAACTTTTTAACAACCTTGTTAGTAAGCGTTGTATATTTCACATCATGTACCTTCTACCCCCCCCCCCCCCCCCCCCCCCCCCCCCCCCCCCCCCCCCCCCCCCCCCCC